AAGATCTGCTTTACATTTAATGGTGAGGACATAACCCAGCTCTCATGTATTCCATTCATCCCTTTATTTTTTTGGAAAAATTATTTAAAATAAATAAAAGGCAATCTAGTACAGCAGAAAAAAAACAAGGATCAAACAAACAAATAAATACCAGGTAAACACTCTCTGAGTATTGCTTTTGAATAACTAAAGCAATGTATCATTAAATTTCAACATGAGAGTATTAGAAGTTGAAAACATTTCACAAATAATGACTTATTAAAAGACAAAGGGTTTAAGACAAACAAATCTGTGTTGAGACTGTAGCTGTGCTAATTTGTACTTTTAGAAAAGTAAAACTTGGAATTGAAATTAAAGTAATGAAATCTGTTTAGAAAGAAATTGTAGAAGAATTAATTAATCATTTGGGAAATTCCAAATTGATCAAGAAAAACTTGTATCTGCATTTCACTGCAATACAGACATTGGAAAGTACTTATACAAGTGTCATATTAGGTAAAACCAAACCTTCATCAACAAGAGATGTTTGTAAAACACTTATGCCCCCCTCCCCCCAAATTGGAATTTTTCCAAGTCCAAAAGGGCATAACTCTGTCAAAAAAGATGCGATCGTACCCAAAACAGAACTTGATCTAGATATTCATCTGATAAATCTGTATGCTAAATTTTATTTCAGTATGTGCAATGGTTGCAAATAAAATGAACGGAAACTGCAAATAATTGAAAATTTTCTAAGTCGAAGGGGCATATCTCTGTCAAAAATGGTGCGATCGTACCAAAAACTGACATTGACTTAGATATTCATGTGATATACATGTATCTGTATACCAAATTTCATTTCAGTATGTGCAATGGTTGCGAAGAAAATGAACGGAAACTAAGTGGACCGACAGACAGACCGACCGACCGACAGACAGCAGCAAAGCAATATGCCCTCCCTTCTTTGAAGGGGGGGGGGGCATAATTAAATGTTAAACAGATGAAAAACAAACATCAGTGCATGTGTAAGAGGTAGAGAGTATCAACAACACTAGAGGCCCAGGGGCCACATCGCTCACCTGAGCAATTGGCTAGGAAAAAACACAGATCAGATCAGAACTGAAAGTAAACTGGGGGGGGGGGGGGGGGGGGGGGGGGGGGGGGGGGGGGCACTTGAATTTCACACCAAGGGGGTCATGATTTGAACAAACTTGAATCTACACTGCCTGAGGATGATTCCCTATAAATATAACAAAGCCTGGCTTTGAAGTACTTGAAAAGAAGATTTTAAAAGGTTTCCCTATATGTTCCTATGTAAAACTTTGATCGGCCATTTTGGCCCCACCCTACCCCCGGGGGTCATGATTTGAACAAACTTGAATCTACACTACCTGAGGATGATTCCACATGAGTTTAATCTTTCCTGGCCCAGTGGTACTTGAGAAGAAGATTTTTAAATATTTTTCCTATATATTCCTATGTAAAACTTTGATCGGCCATTTTGGCCCCACCCTACCCCCGGGGGTCATGATTTGAACAAACTTGAATCTACACTACCTGAGGATGATTCCACATGAGTTTCATCTTTCCTGGCCCAGTGGTTCTTGAGAAGAAGATTTTTAAAGATTTTTCTTATATATTCCTATGTAAAACTTTGATTGGCCATTTTGGCCCCACCCTACCCCCGGGGGTCATGATTTGAACAAACTTGAATCTACACTACCTGAAGATGATCCCAAATGAGTTTCATCTTTCCTGGCCCAGTGGTTCTTGAGAAGAAGATTTTTAAAGATTTTTCCTATATATTCCTATGTAAAACTTTGATCGGCCATTTTGGCCCCACCCTACCCCCGGGGGTCATGATTTGAACAAACTTGAATCTACACTACCTGAGGATGATCCCACATGAGTTTCATCTTTCCTGGCCCAGTGGTTCTTGAGAAGAAGATTTTTTAAAAATGCCATTAATTTTTCTCTAATTCATAATTATCTCCCCTTGGAAAAGGGCCTGGCCCTTCATTTGAATCCCCTTCACCCAAGTATTCTTTGTACCAAGTTTTATTGAAATCGGCCCAGTGGTTCTTGAGAAGAAGATGAAAATTTGAAAAGTTTACGACAACGATGACGACGACGACAACGACGACAGACGACGGACAAATTTTGATCAGAATAGCTCACTTGAGCCTTCGGCTCAGGTGAGCTAATAAAGGATATAAAAGTAAATGTAAAGTATGATCAATAGGTTGTATATTAAAGTACAAGGACTCGTAATACTTAATAATGAAGGGGTCAACTTAAAAAAAATACGTCAATCAACTTAAGGCAAGGCCAAATTACATCAATCAAGGCTAGGCCAACAAATACAAAATATTTGAAATAAAGACATTAATAATTGAATATGTTCACTGAATCACACTTTACATTTCATTGAGACTCTACAAAAACATCTAATATAAATAAATTTAAATCTAAAAAATGTGAAACAAATGCTTTGGAATAAAATAAAATGGTATATATTAAGATATAATCAAATACATGTATCAAAAGATACAATCTTAAATATATACAAAAGTATACAAAAAAAAACTTTATTAATAAATCAACTGGATGGTGCAAGTCCATGTCAAATAAATGAAAGGTTCAGTTTTTGTTCAAGTCTTATAATACATTATATTGGGGAGTTTATTTTTTTAGCTCATAAAAATATCTTATTCAGAGCAATTCTGAATGAATTGCCTGAAAAAAAATGTAGAAAAATTACTGCACTGCTTCTGTTGTATAATGTTTACACAGTACCTAGTGTAAAATACATCTCAAAAATACAGGGCTAAACAATGTATGTTTTTACAACTCAGGTTTCATCTAAAAATGTCTACATAAAAGGCATCACCAGAAGCACTCTAATCAACAAACTTCAATCCTTTAAAAATATTTAAAAATGGGTAAAAAAAAAACTTTAATTATTGCCAAAACTACCCACAATCCTTTGGTTGAAATCCACAGTTAACCAGACATTGTCGAGTCCTCTAAGCGTACGTAAATAGTCAAAGCTGTTTTTATGGATCTGGTTCGTGATTCCCAGGTCTCGGTACAGGGTAGTCAGGCCTCGACTGCGGGCGCCCTCTATAGTGACCGTGTAGTTAGCACTGGATGTGATTTTGATCAGGTTAGACTCGGCCTGGCCTACCTCTCTTGCCTCCTGGGCTTCATTCTTATACTTCTGGACCTAAAAACAAGTTAGTATAATAGTACTGTACATTGTTATATGTTGAAAGTGCAGGTGGGGCCATGATAGGGAGAGCAGTTTCATTAAAGTTACAAAATATTTATACCTATTAGTTAAAACTTAGATCTGCCTCTTCATTTTGAACTGTGACATCACATGACTCAACTTAAATATTAATTGCTTTTTCATTGTGCAGATATGAAGAGGCAATATTTAGCAATTCAAATAAGTGAGATACCTACACTGTTTTTATTTGTGAACTTTTCTTTAGCCTGTGCAAGAATATGAGCCAAAATACAGTAATGAGTGCAAGGAACTTTTTTGTGACACCCACTGCACTTACTATAAGTGTTGCAGCCAGCACACATCTGGTATGTTAAAAATATCAAATTAAAGGCACAGGAAACAGTTCAAACTTTGAATGTATGATTTGTTCAGAGATCATGATGGGAAAATCAAAACTGAAATGCTGCCCAAAGAATCAAGATATAAAAATCCTTTTTGTAGACCCCCAACTTTTATCAAAAATTTATAAGACTTAATTTGCAGAAAGTTTGGGAGCATATTGTTTTCACTCTTTTTTTTCTTATCACACTGTGATACCTTTTTGGATGTGATCTTTCTTTCTAACTGAGCTTTCTGTAGGAGTTTCTCTCGCTCTGAGTCTTCCTTCAGAGTAAGCTGCCTGAGGAAGGTTTCCTCCACATCTCGGGGGATGTACACTTCACCCATCTGGAAGAACCTGACATCAGCAAACACCCCTTTGTGGTCCTCTGTACACAGATCCTTCCTCTTACAACCAGGGGCACAGGCTGGGAAGCAAACAATACAGGTTGAAGTATGCTCAGAATCATTTCATTTCTTTGAATTAAATCCATAAATATTTTAGTATAATCAATCTTTTTTTAGATATAACTCATGAATAAGTATCATTACCGGTAACTTTTTTAAACAAGTTTTTTTCCCAATTTTTATAAAAAAATTATTTTTGAAAACAAAGCTATTGCTTGTCAAAGGTGAATTGATATACTGCAAACTTAATATTCTAGGTAAACAGTCAGGGGCATAACTCAAACAAGTTATAAAAAAAATAACTTAAATAAGTTATTTTACATTATTTTACACACATAAATTTTTGTTTAAAAATAACTTGATTTCTTGGAAATTTTGTGTTTCCTGCCAATTTGCATTGCATTTTGGGATTCCATTATGTAATACTAGATGGAGTTCACCGACTCCAATGGAGAATTGGTGAGGAGGTGGAGATAAACAGCATTTTACTCCTTATTTTGTGGTTTTATCCACATGGTGTATATGTCCAATTTTTATCATTAAATAAAAAAAATTCCCCACTTTTCCCAAGACTTTGAACACTTTTCCTGCATTGAGCAAGGTTTAAATTTAGTTTTTGTCTTGGTGCACGAGCAAAATCCTTTGGCGCGGGGTGTGAAGTTAGGGAGGAATGACACAAAATAACTTAAACAAGTCATTAAATTATTTAAGCTATTTTGGAAAAATAACGTGTTTGAGTTATTAAGGCTGGGGAAAAGTAGGTCATAGCAAAGAGAAGTAACTCATTGAGACAAAAAAATAACTCATTTGAGTTATTTTTGAAAATAACTTGTTTAATTTATGCCCATGACTGGTAAAGCCATGTTCAAAAATATTTCCAATAGTTACCTTTTTTTTTTTTAAATATAATGTACCAAAGGTATTGAAACACTCAATAAATACTATTAACACTGAAATCAATACCAAATCTCCAGGCTTTGCAGTCATCCTGGCAGCAGGTACCCCCCAGACGTTCCCTGACCGCTTTGTACAAATCCTCCTCCACTTTAACTCGCTCTGAGATCAGCTCCCACTTGGTATATATAGTAACAGCACCCTAAAAAGGAACACAATAATGTACCATCATGTGAATTCATCTTCAGTGTTTGGAATAAGATACAATATTACAATGATGAACACATAGCATACAAGTGGTCATATCTATGTTATATATTCCTTTAATTATATAAACTGAATATAATTATTATATCTGAATAAAGACCAGAAATGTTCTTCTTTTGGAAAAAAAAATGTTTGTAAAACTTTTCACGTTGGCTTTATTGACATTAAGTATAAACAAGAGGCCCATGGGCCACATCGCTCACCTGAGAAGCTTTGACCATTCTGTTCTTTACCAGATTTCACCCTTGTTAAACATAATGCATCCCCACCCTACCCCACTGATCATAATTTAGACATTTTGAAATCTACACTACCCCATGATCCTTCCATTGGCACATATGTTTCAGCTTTTTTGGCCCAGTGGTTCTTGAGAAGAAGATTTTCAAAGATTTTTCCTATATATTTCTATGTAAAACTTTGATTCCCCATTGTGGCCCCACCCATCCCCCGGGGGTCATGATTTGAACAATTTAGAATCTACATTATATCAGGATGCTTCCACATAAGTTTCAGCTTTTCTGGCCCAGTGGTTCTTGAGAAGAAGATTTTCAAAGATTTTTCCTATATATTTCTATGTAAAACTTTGATTCCCCATTGTGGCCCCGCCCTTCCCCCGGGGGTCATGATTTGAACAATTTAGAATCTACATTATATCAGGATGCTTCCATATCAGTTTCAGCTTTCCTCGCCCAGTGGATCTTGTGAAGAATATTTTTAAGTCTTTGTTCTATATATTTCTATGTAAAACTTTGATTCCCCATTGCGGCCCCGCCCTTCCCCCAGGGGTCATGATTTGAACAATTTAGAATCTACATTATATCAGGATGCTTCCATATCAGTTTCAGCTTTTCTGGCCCAGTGGTTCTTGAAAAGAAGATTTTCAAAGATTTTTCCTATATATTTCTATGTAAAACTTTGATTCCCCATTGTGGCCCCGCCCTTCCCCCGGGGGTCATGATTTGAACAATTTAGAATTTACACTACCCTAGGATCCTTCCACATAAGATTCAGCTTTACTGGCCTAGTGGTTCTTGAGAAGAAGATTTTTTAATGACCCCACCCTATTTTTGTCTTTTCTTGATTATCTCCCCTTGCGAGGGGATATGTCCCTTCATTTTAACAATTTAAATTCCCCTTTACCCAGGGATGCTTTGTACCAAGTTTGGTCAAAATTGGCCCAGTGGTTCTTGAGAAGAAGTCGAAAATGTGAAAAGTTTACAGACGGACAGACAGACGGACGGACGGACGGACGGACGGACGACGGACAAAATGTGATCAGAAAAGCTCACTTGAGCCTTCGGCTCAGGTGAGCTAATAAAAAGCAATTCTGTATGACAAGGAAACTTTTAGGACTCACACTTTTTTGCCCCTTATGCCCTTAAGTAGAAAACTCATAAGACAGTCATTTCTATGATACCACTTATCTCAGTGTATTTACCATTGGGAGAAAATGTTTGCAAGTGTGAGAGGGTGAGGGTAAAAAAATTTGAAAAAAAATCCCCTACAGTGGATCTTATGCACCATATAAACATAGGTAATCAAAGGTTACAAAGCTCATCTCGATGAATGTTATTGGCTTAATACATTATATATTTGTTTTCTAAATAGTTGGTATTTATCCTGACAACAATATTCATGCATGTTCTTTGACATGTTCCAAAAAAATTGACCTGGTCACTCATTTGGAAATCAGATCCAGCATCCAAAGCAAGTCTTGCCTGTCCATCCTTAGATGTATCATCCAAACAAGTTAAATCATTACTGGCAATTAAATTAAAGAGCTATTCCAAATTCATTATACTTGTTACTCATCTGACAATGTAGGCCAAATCCAGCGTTTTTAACCTGGTCACTCATCTGGAAAATGAAGGTCACATCCAGCATTAGAAGCAAGTCTGGTAGTGTCCATCCCTAGATGCATCATCCATGCAAGTTTGGTCCGGGTGGGGCTTATCGTTCCTTGGGAATGGACTTGCTCCTAAAACTTTTACTTGGGAAGCCAACACTTACGCCAACGCCGGGGGTATAGCACAAGTTCATCTCGACTTTGTCAAGGTGAGCTAAAAATTAAGCAGAAGTTTGATTTTGGCTAGAACCTTACTTTTACGGCATCTATAGCACTACTCCTCATGATGTCTTCATAAAACACATCAAACCGTCTGTGGAGAGCAGGCAGGTCCTCTTTCCTCAAGAAATACTGCAGATGAACAGTTACCTGTACCTAGCAATATAAAGATGTTCATATAAGTGTGAACGGTTACTTGTACCTATCAATATAAATATAGAAATGAACAAAACTGCCACTTTACCTTTTACAGGTTTGGATATATTAGTTCTATGGCATTGAAGAAAAGGTGAAAAACAAACAAATAGGTTTTTTTTCTTTAAACCAGAAGTCTCTGTCGAGACTGAAGCTCTACTGGTTTGTACTTATAGCAAAGGAAGAGAAAAGTACTTAAGCAGTTGGAAATTGAAACTTTTCAACAGCAATAAATAGAATAATGATCCTTGATTAAGTCTCTTTATGTTCTTAGTGTAGTCTACTTGCATGCCACATTTATATTATAATCAGACTAAAATTGTATTTGGAGTAGCTTTTTGAAAGAATTTCACAGAAATTTCTATTTTTATTAACTACGGCAACACCGTTCATTGAAATCAAACACCGATACACAGAATTATGTATCTTATTGTAGTCTACTTGTGTGCCAAGTTATATTGAAATCAGACTAAAACAGTAGGAGTGGCATTTTGAAAGAATTTCACAGAAATTTCTATTTTTAGTAACCACGGCAACACCGTTCATCGAAATCAAAAACCGATACACAGAATTATGTATCTTAGTGTAGTCTACTTGTGTGCCAAGTTATATTGAAATCAGACTAAAACTGTAGAAGGAGTAGCATTTTGAAAGAATTTCACAGAAATTTCTATTTTTAGTAACCACGGCAACAACGTTCATTGAAATCAAAAACTGATACATAGAATTATGTATCTTATTGTAGTCTACTTGTGTGCCAAGTTATATTGAAATCAGACTAAAACTGTAGAAGGAGTAGCATTTTGAAAGAATTTCACAGAAATTTCTATTTTTAGTAACCACGGCAACACCGTTCATTGAAATCAAACACCGATACACAGAATTGTGTATCTTAGTGTAGTCTACTTGTGTGCCAAGTTATATCGAAATCAGACTAAAACTGTAGGGGGAGTAGCATTTTGAAAGAATTTCACAGAAATTTCTATTTTTAATAACCACGGCAACAACGTTCATCGAAATCAAAAACCGATATACAGAATTATGTATCTTAGTGTAGTCTACTTGTGTGCCAAGTTATATTGAAATCAGACTAAAACTGTAGGAGGAGTAGCATTTTGAAAGAATTTCACAGAAATTTCTATTTTTAGTAACCACGGCAACACCGTTCATCGAAATCAAAAACCGATACACAGAATTATGTATCTTAGTGTAGTCTACTTGTGTGCCAAGTTATATTGAAATCAGACCAAAACTGTAGGAGGAGTAGCATTTTGAAAAATTGTTTACAGACAGACGGACAGCTAGACAGACAGACAGCTAGACAGACGGACGGACGACGGACGCATTACTATCGCATAAGCTCTTCTGGTCTCTGACCAGTAGAGCTAAAAATCAAACAAACAATAAATTCTTTAAAAACCAGAAGTCTCTGTCGAGACTGTAGCTCTACTGGTTTATACTTAAAACAAAGGAAGAGAAAAGTAGCAGTTGTGACTTTAGACTTCAAAACAGGAATCAATAGAAAAATGATCCTTGACACTCAACAAAATAAAAACTGATGCACAGAATTATGTATCTTAGTGTAGTCTACTTGTGTGCCAAGTTATATTAAAATCGGACCAAAACTAAAGGAGGAGTAGCATTTGAAAGAATTTCACAGAAATTTCTATTTTTAGCAACCATGGCAACACTGTTCATCAAAGTCAAAAACCGATGCACAGAATTATGTATCTTAGTGTAGTCTACTTGTGTGCCACATTATATTGAAATCAGAACAAAACTGGTGGATGAGTAGTATTCAAAATAAAATTTCACAGAAATTTCTATTTTTAGTAACCACGGCAACACCGTTCATCGAAATCAAAAACCGATATACAGAATTACGTATCTTAGTGTAGTCTACTTGTGTGCCAAGTTATATTGAAATCAGACCAAAACTGTAGGAGGAGTAGCATTTTGAAAAATTGTTTACAGACAGACGGACAGCTAGACAGACAGACAGCTAGACAGACGGACGGACGACGGACGCATTACTATCGCATAAGCTCTTCTGGTCTCTGACCAGTAGAGCTAAAAATCAAACAAACAATAAATTCTTTAAAAACCAGAAGTCTCTGTCGAGACTGTAGCTCTACTGGTTTATACTTAAAACAAAGGAAGAGAAATGTAGCAGTTGTGACTTGAGACTTCAAAACAGGAATCAATAGAAAAATGATCCTTGACACTCAACAAAATAAAAACTGATGCACAGAATTATGTATCTTAGTGTAGTCTACTTGTGTGCCAAGTTATATTAAAATCGGACCAAAACTAAAGGAGGAGTAGCATTTGAAAGAATTTCACAGAAATTTCTATTTTTAGCAACCATGGCAACACTGTTCATCAAAATCAAAAACCGATGCACAGAATTATGTATCTTAGTGTAGTCTACTTGTGTGCCACATTATATTGAAATCAGAACAAAACTGGTGGACGAGTAGTATTCAAAATAAAATTTCACAGAAATTTCTATTTTTAGTAACCATGGCAACACCTTTCATCGAAATCAAAAACCGATGCACAGAATTATGTATCTTAGTGTAGTCTACTTGTGTGCCAAGTTATATTGAAATCGGACCAAAACTGTAAGAGGAGTAGCATTTTTGAAAGAAGTTCACAGAAATTTCTATTTTTAGTAACCATGGCAACACCATACATCGAAATCAAAAACCGATGCACAGAATTATGTATCTTAGTGTAGTCTACTTGTGTGCCAAGTTATATTGAAATCGGACCAAAATTGTAAGAGGAGTAGCATTTTGAAAGAAGTTCACAGAAATTTCTATTTTTAGTAACCATGGCAACACCGTTCATCGAAATCAAAAACCGATGCACAGAATTATGTATCTTAGTGTAGTCTACTTGTGTGCCAAGTTATATTGAAATCGGACCAAAATTGTAAGAGGAGTAGCATTTTGAAAGAAGTTCACAGAAATTTCTATTTTTAGTAACCATGGCAACACCGTTCATCGAAATCAAAAACCGATGCACAGAATTATGTATCTTAGTGTAGTCTACTTGTGTGCCAAGTTATATTGAAATCAGACCAAAACTTTAATAGAAGTAGCATTTTGAAAAATTGTTTACATACAGACAGACAGACAGACAAACAGACGGACAGACAGACAGACGGACGGACGACGGACGCATTACTATCGCATAAGCTCTTCTGGTCTCTGACCAGTAGAGCTAATAATGAAAACCGAGACTTGTTCTACAATTTTTATCAATGTTTACCTCCAGTCTGTCGGAAGTAAAAGCTTTGATCCTCTTCAGGGTCAAGTGATGGGCATCAGCTTGGAACACCTTAAATTCATAGTCCGGTCCTAAGAAGTGTTTCCCCAAAGCATATACAGAATCCAGATTTACTGTCCCAGTGCTCTTTTGTTTAACAAAACCATACTATCAAAAGGAAAAGTAAAACTAGAAATACACATGTATGTCCATAAAAATGAATGCTTCGTGCAAGGTTCATAAGTAGAGCAACATGAAAATTTTTATATCATGTTTGATGAAAATATATTGAATAGTTTATTTAAAACTGATTTTTTATACATAATAAATAGTAATCATGGTAATAGTATAAATAAGGTTTCATAAAAAATTAAAACACGATTAGGGAAATGGTATTTAGGTTGTCCACAAGAATTTGTATAGCAGCTAAGGGCCATTAAGTAGAAGAGAGTCTGGAGTTCCCCCCTAATAACGTTGGAGGGAGAATACCAGAATACTGTAAACCAACTTTTATTCGCGACAACTTTATTTTGTGATTTACAGGGTATAAACCCGTACCAAACATTCTAACAAATGCTCATGAGCAGCTCATGAAATCAAGTAAGAATTGTATGCAAATTAGGTAGAATTGGATTTTGCTCATGTGCAGATTGTTAGTCTTTGTTAGGTAGGAAAATACTAACCAAAATGCACATGTGCAAAATTATGCTCACCTCAATGCTCATGAGCAAAAGTTTATTCAATTTGCTCACCTAAGAACAGCCTTATTTAAGATATAGCATTGGTAGTGACTTTTGTAAGTTCATTTTTCTCAAGTGAGCAAGAGGTGAGCAAATTGTGAGGAAATTGGACATAGTCAAAATTCAGTATTACAAGTAGAACCAAAACCAAAGAATTACAAGTCTCAATTCCTCACGTGAGACTCAGGTGAGGAAATACAATACTTTGACACTCTGTGTGGTCCAAGCTTTCCCAAGCCTTTATTACAAATTGACCATGTGTTAAGTGTTAACACTTCCTGATGATAATATCACAAATGACTGGGGACCAGGCAGGAATATCTTAATTTATTGAGCTTCTAATCATCATATTCCCATCAATTGAAAATGCTTTCCTCTACCTAAACAACCTGTTGTGTCCCCCACTGTTACTTAAAGTGGGGCAGTATCCAATGAGGAGAGCCAGTCAGGATTTGTGCGCCTTCTCAGACCAGTTCAAAATTTCAATACAAAATGTTTGTGAGGGACATTGAAAGTATATGGATTAATACAGTGAAGAACTGAAATATGCTTTTGGAAATACATGTCATCACCATATTGAACTAGATGCCAGCCTTTAAAAGTTACAAATGTATCCAGTATGTCCATGGGATATGATTAAAGATCAATTAGGAATTACCATGGGGCAGCCACAATGAAGGAAAATTTAAAAGATTTGCTGATCTGAGAATAGGGTAAGTGCTTTGAAATTTATTATCCCCCCTCTCATTTCAGATATTACTAATTAAAAAAAATAATATGTTTGTGTGTTAATTATCAGTGTATTTAATTTTGATATATCTAATGCAGAATGTTATCAGGAATTACAGTTTGATTAAGAACTATTATAAATATGGTAAGAACAGATTAGTTCAGAGTGTACAATTGACAGTCTCAGTGCGGTATTTTATGAATTACATGTATTTAAGTTGCTAATTAAATATTGATGCATATGATTTTTCTATTGACTGGCTAATTTCATGACAAACGGAACCTTGAAAATATACTAACTATAACTTCAAATTTTTTGCAGATAAAAGTTGGAATCAAAGGATCTGCAGATTAATCACGTACAGCCCCTGGGCTTGCATACATGGCAGTCAGTTCTGAAGTTCGCACTCATTTAAAGGAAATGCAAGAAAAAAGAATGGAACAGGATGAATTGATTATGATTCTTATGACCACTGGATTATTATTTTACACCCATTAGTATGACTGCATGCCACTCATAAATTCAGCAAAGACAGAAACATCTACTTAGCCTCCAAGACAACTTTAAGACAACTTTAATCCATCTAGTACTAGTGCAGTCAAAAATGTTGACTGGACATTTACATTGGATGTTCTATGTTAATCTACTGGAAATGGAACTATTGGATAATAATACTTTGATTGATGTGTACTGTATATAATTATAATAATTTAATTAAATTTTTTATATCATTTTAAGTTTTAAAAATGAAGTTCACTGAACATAATTATATATATGCATGCATCTATTTACATGTACATGTTGCTAAAGAGTATTTAAAATGTAATTGATGAATCACATTTTAAAATTACATAATTATATAATGTTTGTAATCTGAATTTTGTTCTATTGTTGCTTGTTCAAGTGAGCAATTGTTGCACATGAGTCTCATGAGCCTCATGAGACTCATGAGACTCATGAGCCTCATGTGAGCAATATTCTAGGTGAGCAAAATGATTCCTCACATGAGCAAAACATGCTAATGTGCAGAACCCTGCTCACGTGAGCATTTCACCTAATTTGCATGTTAAATTGCACATGAGACTCACGTGAGCAACTCAGGTGAGGAAATCTGGTTAGTCCTCACGTGAGCTGCTCATGAGCAAATTGTGAGAATGGTTTGGTATGGGAACTGATTCGCAATGATTAATTTTTGCAATCAAGCCTATTTTGGATCTGTTTGGACCGGTTTACGGCGAGAAATATTTGCGACGACAGAGCTCTTCGGAACCTCGCCAAAATTTTTTGTATGCAAATAAAACTTGGTTTACAGTAACTAGGGGATTACATCAATACAGGCAGGGAAATTCCCCTGCCTCTGGGTCTCATGGGCAACCCTGAGTGTAAAGACAAAATAAAAGCAGTTAGAATAAGTGATTCAAATATATATACATTTATATATAATCCTGAGCATATTAGCTACATACATACCTCATAATATTCCAGGCCACTGAAGCTCATAGGCAGCAGAATGACGAGGAGACCACCTACGACCAGGAAGCCACCACCAAATAACACAATTATACATTTACCCTCATCAGACATGGCTTATGGCTGCAAGAAAAAGACAATCAACTTACAGTGTGTAATGCTCAGATTTGTCAATAGGCAATAAACATTCAAAAGGAAGTACCAGTACTTATCTGTTTTGTTCTGGGTAATAACACTTGTACTAGCTGTGCTCTTGGACATGTCATCTTATGAGTAATATTGATTAAGTTCTTTCTTTTTCCCTTCCCTTAAGTACATGTGATTTTTTTTTTACATGTAACAGTCATGTTTAGAACCCAATATCACAAAAGGAAATAAACAATATATGTAAATTATAAATAATGAATAACCAGTGAGAAGTCTCAGACTGTATCTCTACTGCTGTGCACTTTAAATAAAGTCAAGCATCTTAGTATAATTCACATGTATAGGTCATTGTGTGTGACTAATCAGACCAAAAACTGTAGGAGTATAGTACGGTAACCAAAGATTATGAAGCTCACCTTGACGAATGTTATTAGTTTAAGTAATGCATACCTCACATCATATTTCCTTAATAGTTGGTATTTATCCTGGCAACAATACTCATGCATTTTCTGTTTAACTAGGTCTTAAAGTTCATTGGGGATTGACCTGTTCCAAAAAATTTATCCTGGTCACTCATTTGGAAAATGTAGATTAGATCCAGCATCCGAAGCAAGTCTTGATTTTCCATCCTTAGATGCATCATCCATGCAAATTAAATCATAACAGGTCATAAAATTAAAGAGCTACTCCAAAAACATAATATGATTACTCATCTGAAAATGTAGGCCAAATCCAGCATCTGAAGCAAGTCTAGTAGCAGGGTTGGGTATTGGCCAGAGATTTCGTATTGCGAAATTTTTAACTGTACTGTGATATGTACTGCAAAACTTTCAACGGAATTTAAAATGACATTTTCTTATTATATCAGCTTTAATTTACATGCAGAATGAACATAACCAGGAGTAGTAATCTCAAGGGAAAAAATCTGGTTGATTTAATTAGAGTTATTCATGTAAATATATACCCATATAACAGCTTCTGTCTTACTGTTTGGCTTAATCACAAACCTTTTTGAAAACTTTTATTTATATTTAATGCTAGAATTCCTAAGTCTAAGCATGTTGCTGGTATATCGATATTACAAAAACGTATTGCAATACAATATTTTTTGTCATTGTAATGCAATATACCGAAATATCAATGTTTTTGCCCAGCCCTGGCTAGTAGTGTCCATCCCCAGATGCATCATCCATGCAAGAATGGTCCAGGTAGGGCTTATAGTAACTTGGGAATAGACCTGCTCCAAAAGCTTTAACCTGGTCACTTAGCTGGAAAAAAATACACAGGCACCTGTGGGTTAATTAGGCCACAATAAGACAATATCTTTCTTATAATGTGATATCTGATAATCAAAGTTTACCATGGGTACAGGGGGAAAAAATTGCTTCTCATGAACAGTAGGAACTGATTTACAAACTTTGTCCATTAAGTAATTTTCAAGTTTTTAATCCCTAGGGATAGAGTACGGCCATGATAGAGAATATTATACCGGAAGATAAATCTTGAAAAAAAAAAGATCTTATATACAATAAGAACATGAGTTCATGAATAGCCATATTAACGTGTAATGGTTTTGGCCGTGGATATTGGCCTAGATTGCTCAGTTGGTAGAGCACCTGACTAGAGATGCAGGGGTCCCAGGTTTGATTCCCGGTCCAGCCATACATTTTCTCCTTTCCTGTTACAGATCTGGTGCCGTTGACCACCTCTGGAATTGCAGGTGAAAGTCCTGTCAGAGGGTAACTAGAAAACTGACCAGTCAGCAAGGGCCCCGCCATGGGGTGGAATTATAAGGATGTAGCTTACGGAATGATTAAAAATATATGAAGAAATAAGCAACAGCAACTGTATTCTTAAAATTTTCAACAAAATTCCTGATTATCCAAAAACCTGTAAATAATATCCTTGTATATTTACGTTAGGCAGTAAAGAACAACCTAACATTGAATGTATATATAAACAATAATGAAGTTTGTGTTAGAGTTATATAAAATGCCAGTCTTCAATGAATGCAAATACATGTATCATGAAGGCTTGACCTTAACTTCAAAACAAACAGAAAATTTAGTGATCTACAGTGTAGATCACTAAATTTTCGCAACACCTTATTTTCGCGAGATAGTCATTGACTCTTGATTAGCGAGACAAAATTTTCGCGAATTGTGGTTATTGCTCAATATATTCTTAAGGAATACTATTATATGCGAGAATTAAATTTTGCGAATACACTGTCTCGCGTAATTACGCGAAAATAAAGTTCTCGCGAATAAAAAGTGATTTACAGTATTTAAGGAGGGAGGAATGTAATGGTTTGGGCCATGGATACAGTTGGTAGAGCACCTAACTAGAGATGCAGGGGTCCTGGGTTCAATTCCAGGTCCAGCCATACATTTTCTCCCTTTTTGTTACAAATGCAAGCAATCCTGATGTAGTGCATAAAGTGACCTGACTGAAGTTTGTTCAAATAATACCAGCAGGAAAAAGGTGACTCAGGTGAGTGCTGTGGCCCATGGGCCTCTTCTTGGCAAAAGTATGAACATTTAGTAAAATGTGATACAATTACAGCAATTGTGTTCCTTATTTTAAGTGGGTACTTAATGAATCAAGGGAAATAGCGCTCTTCAACGTCAAATCACAGAAGCAATAATTTGCAAGTAAATCAGCTGAACAAGAGATTCTGCATGGATTTCAGCTCCATAAATGTATTAGTATTTTTGTTTCGTAAATGGTGCTTATACAGATTATAAAATGAATACCAAATCTTATTTAAATATTTTCCCCTTCTAGCATTTGGGATAATATTATATCCCTCATTTATAAATCTAGTTCTAACTTAGTGCTATCAAACTATCAAAGCTTTGTAATTGCTATCATTTCCTTAGTCCGAAATATCTGATGTTTTCCAGGCTTCTATCATGATTTTGATAATTTACGTGCCAACCACATAAATCATCTAACTCGTAAAATAACCAGGGAAACGTCAGATATTTTGGACTACTGTATCCTGAGAAGGGAAGGGGTGATTTTCTTGGTTTTTTGTGTGTTGGTGATGGACACTTGTTGTGGCCATGTGCCAGGGGTATATTTTCAACAATTTTGGCATGGTTAAAAAAATGTTACCAAATTCCCAAATCCAAGATTCTGATATCTTTTCTCTTTTTATACTTTTCCATTTTTTTCCTTTGGAACTTCACTGTTATAAAATAATTCTGGATCCATCACACATTGGGAATGCAGCAGCTGTACATTTATAGTTATAGTTTATTCTCTAAAAGTGGACAGGCTTTCGCCTACATCCACTGGGTGTAGCCCAGAGCCTGTCCATTTCTCTAACATTGTCTGAACATGCAAAAGAGATTTTAAGTTACAACTGCAATAAAAAAAAAAAAAAACACCTGTGTCTGTGACCTTAACAGGTCCAGCACAATATAGTTTCATAGCTTTATCAAGGTTTTACCAATACCTTAATCACGGTATTTGATGTCATGAAAATTCAAAAAAACTCTTAAAAAATCAAATACTGAAAGTCGAGTTCTGATTTGTTGTCCGTACATTCACTCATGCGTGTAAAGTACTCAAACACAAAGAAATCAGTATGTAAAAGCATGTCATGTGAGGAGACGTTCTTGTATGCTGTCTTTTTGATACCAGAGTGCTTTTCAGGCACGAGTGGACACACTGAATCAAGCTAACTTATATATTGTGCTGGACCTGCTTAATATCGCCCAATAATGGACAGCACAAGTGAATTTCTGATCAGAGATCTACGATGATTTAGCATGACCATTGAAAAATATATGTTTCCTCCCTTTTATTACCCCAGCGATGAATGCACATCTTCCAAAGCAAACAAAACCAATGATCACTGATTAAATGGTAGGCCGAATACCCTGGCATGTTTATATTACAGAAATAATCTTCGAATATGCAGGCGATGTCTTTTTTCTGAAAGAAACAAAATAATAAGTATAACAGTATTCTGCTAAACTGTTTAGAATTACTCACCTGCAAAGTCAGTTAACACTGTGAGTGAGGCTGACTGTTGAGTATTGCGAAATCAAACTTTGCAGACACATTGCAGGAGTTCTTCCCCTTATGAACTAGGCATTTCGCCCCCAAACTTGGCATTTTCGATAAATATGTTTTCTACATAGGCGCTCCCCATGTAATTCTGTAAATGACGTATGATAAGTATATATAGGTCTACCCCTCTCTACTATATTTTATAGTAGAGAGGGGTAGACCTATATATACTTATCATACGTCATTTACAGAATTACATGGGGAGCGCCTATGGTTTTCTATTACGTGCCTTAATGTATATTAATACTTTATCAGATGTAATAATGTCATTTAATGATATAAACAGTGATTCCTCATATTTCCATTTCACTGTGAAATAAATTGTAAATTAAGATTTTAACAAGAGGCCATTGGGCCACATCGCTCACCTGAGTACAATGGCTAGGGAAAAAAAGCAAAAATCAGTTCAGTAATGAAGAGTTTACATGGAGAGGGGGGTTTAAAACTATAACTTTACCATAACCTGATGATGCCTCCATATCAATATGTAACAAATGGCTTTGCTGTTATTGAGCAAAATATTTTCCGCTATTTATTCAATTGCAAAAATTTTACCCATATTGTGGCCCAGCCCTAACGTTGGGGGGGGGGGGATTTACAGGGCTATTCCTTCATGTAAGAAGTCACGAAAATCATGGCCAACAACATCATACCAACACATTTGTCCAGCACAGACCAGCTGCATTTAGCAGCATTTATCCTGCACAGACCCTCTGGTAGAGTCAGCGGCATTTAGCGGCATTTGTCCAAGACAGACCCTCTGGTAGAGTCAGCGGCATTTAGCGGCATTTGTTCAACACAGACCATCTGATAGAGTCAGCAGCATTTGTCCAAGCAGTTCTTCATATTTGTTGAATAAATTAAGACAATGCTACTTATAATGAGATAATTTTGAAACATTCCCAAGTAAAGCTTCTTATGCAACTTGCTGTAATTGATGGAGTAAATACATTATTTTCTTTATTTGGTATTTTATTTTGCATATGTTCATAAGTATAACTTAATAATTAATATGTAATACAGGGGTACTTCTAATGTATTAGTAAAAATAAGGTAATGGAGCAGTAATAAATGCATGAAGCCAGATGTTTAACACCTTTTCCCTAATCATCTTTTGTTTTGTTATAATGGTGGTAATTTCGTCTGTATCAAACTGCAAGATATCAATAACTGTAAATTGCTAATCAACATGATGCTTATGGCTAGTGCTGACCAAGATAAAGCTGTTAATTGAATTATTTTCAAAGATACTACCAAAGCACAAAACATTATTTGTAGGCCTTGAATTTAAACTGATATTTAATTACCGGGGTTATATTTTTTTGAATACTGGAAATACCATCAAAGCAAATGGAAAATAGTTGAATATTACTCAGTTCCTAGAGGCATGTTTATAATGTTTCTCAAGCAAATATGTAGTTTTTTTTATGTTTGACAAATACAAATAAGCCTTTCATTTGAAAAAATTGTTTA